CACCCCAAACAATGGGACACTTATGTATATCAAATAGACCCTTCTTAATTTCAAGAATCAAATAGACCACAAGACAATAATACTGGATGACTTTAACACACCTCTCTCTTTCCACTGCATAGATCCTCCAAACAAAACATGAATGAAGTTATAAAACTAAAAAATACAATCAATAATTTAGACTTAATAGATAAATATATAAAATATATTTTATATTTCATATAATAGATAAATATATAAAATATTTCACCCATCAATTACTGAATACACTTTCTTCTCAGCAGCACACGATTCTTCTCTAAAATAGACCATATCTTAGCCCCAAAGCAACTCTTTGCAAACACAAAAAAAGAGATAATAAACCTTGTATTCTATCAGATCATAATAAAATAAATTTAGAAATCAATGATAAAATAAAAAATAGAAATTACTCTAACACCTGGAGATTGAATAATATTCTATTAATTGACCAATGGATAGCAGAAGAAATTAGGGATGGAATAAAAAAAATACTTAGAGGTAAATGAGAACAGCAATACAACATATAACAATCTCTGGTACACTATGAAGATGGTTTTAAGAGAAACTTTAATTACATTGAGCTCATTCATTATTAGGATAGAAAATTACCACATAAATAACTTAACATTATATCTCAAAACCCTAGAAAAAGAACAAATCAACACCCAAAGCAATAAAAGACAGTAAATAATTAAAATCAGAGCCAAAAATCAATAAAATTGAAAGACCAACAACAAAAAAATTTGAAAAAAATCAAAACAAAAAGTTGTTTCTTAGAAAAAACAAATAAAATTGATAAACCCCTAGCCAAGCTAACAAAGAGAAAGAGGAAAAAAATCTCAAATTACTAAAATTTATGATGAAACAGGAAATATCACAATGGACACTACTCAAATACAGACAATAATCAGAAACTATTTTAAAAAATTATACTCCAATAAAATAGAAAATATTGAAGATATTGACAAATATTTAGAGTTAAATCACCACCCAAATTGAATCAGAAAGACAAAGAAAATTTAAACAGATCCATTTCAAGAAATGAAACTGAAGACGCCATCAAAAGCATACCGAAAAAGAAAAGTCCAGGACCAGATGGATTTTCAAGCTGAGTTCTATCAGATCTTCAAAGAAAAACTAACACCAATTCTCCTCAAATTATCCATGAAAGAGAAAAGTAGGAAACCCTTCCAAACTCATCCAACAAAGCTAGTTTCACCCTGATCCAAAACCAGAAAAAAACACCTCAAAGGAAAAAAACTTCAGACCAATATCCGTGATGAACATAGATTCATCACATCAACAGACTTAAAGACAAGAATTACATGATTATCTCAATAGATGCAGAAAAAGCATTTGACAAAATACTACACTGATTCATGTTCAAAACAGTAGAAAAACTAGGGATAGTAGGAATGTACCTCAACATTGTAAAAGTTATAAATGTTAAATCCAGGCCAACATCGTTATAAATGGAGAAAGTATTCTCTCTGAAACTACAAAAAGACAGGGATGCCCACTTTTCACCACTTCTATTCAACATAATCCTTAAAACTGTAGCCCGAGCAATTAAGCAAATGAAAGAAATTAAAGGGATACAATAAAAAAGAAGAGTTCAAACTAGCTGATTTGCCAAAAAAAAAAAGATCCTATATTTAGAAGACCCCCAAAACTCCACCAGAAAACTTCTAAAACTCATTAATGCATTCAGCAAAGGAGCAGGATATAAAATTAACTCCCATAAATCCATTGTGTTCCTATATACCAATGATGAATCAGCTGATAGAGAGATTAGGAAAACTGTCCCATTCACAATAGCCTCAAAAAACAAAACAAAACAAAAAAAAAAAGGGGGGGGGAATTAATCTAACAAGAGAGGTAAAAGACCTCAAAATGAAAACTACAGAACTCGAAAGAAATTGAAGAAGGTTTTAGAAGATGGAAAAATCTGCCATGTTCTTCAATGGGCAGAATTAATATTGTTAAAATAGCTATACTACCAAAAGTGCTAGACAGACTTAGTTCAATTCCTATTAAAATTCCAATGATGTTCTTCATAGAAATAGAAAAAACGGTCATGAAATTCATTTGGAAAAATAGGAGTCTCAGAATAGACAACGCAATCCTTAGTGAGAAGAGTAAGTCAGGTGGTATTACAATACCAGACCTTAAATTATATTTGCAGATTATCGTAACAAAAAGAGCATGGTAGTGCTACCAAAACAGGCATGAAGACCAATGGAACAGAATATAGAGGACACTGAGACAAACCTACATAAATACAGTTATCTCATACTAGACAAAGCCTCCATAAACATACATTGGAGGATAGCCTCTTCAACTAACGATGCCCAGAAAACAGGAAACCCCCAGGTATCAGAATGAAATTTAACCCCTGTCTCTCAGCCTGCACAAAACTCAATTCAAGTGGACAAGCACCTAGGCATTAGAACAGAGACCCTGCACCTACTAGAAGATAATGTAGGCCCAACATTCCATCATGTTGGCTTAGGAACCAACTTCCTCAATAAGACTCCTAAAGCACAATAACTAAAATCAAGGATCAATAAATGGGATGACATCAAACTAAAAAGCTTCTTCACAGCAAAGGAAACAATCAAGAACATGAAGAGTGCACCTACAGAATGGGAGAAAAATCTTTGCCACCTGTACCTCAGACATACCATTAATCTCCAGGATATGTAAAGAACTCAAAAATCTTAACACCAAAAAAACAAAAACACACAAACAAACAAACAAACAAAAAATCCCCAAAACCCAAATAACCCAATCAATAAACAGGCAAAGGAACTGAACAGGTGCTTCACACAATAAGAAATAAGATTGGTCAACAAATACATGAAAAAATATACAACTTCTCTAGCAATTAGAGAAATGCAAATTAAAACTACACTGATATTCTATCCCACTCCATTCAGAATAATAATTATCAAGAAAACAAGTAACAATAAATGTTGGCAAGGATGTGGGGAAAAGCTTTACTCATACTTTGCTAGTAGAACTGCTAATTTGTGTAACCACTCTGGAAAGCAGTAAGGAAATTCCTCAGAAAACTTGGAACCACCATTTGACCCAGCTATCTCACTCCTCAGTTTATACCCAATGAACTTAAAATCAGATGCAGCCAAATCAATATTTATAGCAGCTCAACTCACATTAACTAAACTATGGAACCAACATAGGTGCCCTTCAACAGATGAATGGATAAAGAAAATGTGGCAAATATACACAATAGAATATTACTCAGCCATAAAAAAGAGTGACGTTATGACTTGCCAGTAAATGGAAAGATATGGAGATTATCATGCTAAATGACATAAGTCAATTCCAAAAAACCAAAGGCTGAATGTTCTCTGATATACAGATGCTAACAAACAACAAAGGTGAGGGAGCAAAGAATAGAAGTTCATTGGATTAGTCAAAGGGGAATAAAGGGAATGGTGGAGGGATGGGAATAGAAAAGACAGAAGGAATATATATAAACATACTTTTGTATGTTTATATATGAATACACCACCAATGAAATTACATAATGTACAACTGCAATAGGATCCTAATTAGAATAAGTTACACTCCATGTATAATATGTCAAAATACACTCTACCGTCATGTATATCTAAAAAAACACATTAAAAAAATTAGAATCTATTTTTAAAAAAGATGAAGGGAAAATATTGAGCACCACCCCTTTCTAACCCAATTCTTATGCTTAGTTTGGGTACTTCAGGATCTAGGATATGTCCCTTTGATCTCCTACTCAGCAACATCATAAAAGATCTTCTCTGACTTTGGACTGAACTCAACTCGTTGTAACACGATATGCAGAGCTTCTGCTCTACATGGCTGGAATGTTCCAGGGCAGGGGCTTCACTTTAGAATGTGCACATTCTCTCAGCCCATCGGATCTTGCCTTCTCAGTGTGGGGCCTTTGGAGAGGAGCTGGGCTATGCCAGAGTTGGAGAATCTGGAGCATGTGGCCCTTCACCCTGGCCCAGAGGCCTTGGGTTCACTGAGGGTCACGCTCTGCAGAGGTATGCTCTCAAGGTGTGGTCTAAACCCAAAACACAAGCAGCAGCCTCAAAGGTGAGCTCCATTGTGAATATTGTTTCCATACCAGAGCTATCTGTCTCTTGGAAGGGGCAGGAGTCTTGCTGCCGGGAGTTTCTCTGCCTTTGCAGCTGAAACGAAGAGGGCACTTGGCTCTGGACCAAACACACCTTCCTGGGTACCAAGACTGCCTGCTTTACCTGGAGCCCTTAATGAAGACAGAGAAAGTGGCAGGGGAAAACTGGAGTTTCCCAGGATTCTCCCTTCCCCACTTAGCACCTCTGGGCATAAGCTTCAGGTCTTTCCATTTTAATTAACCCAGTGAACCAGCCTCTACCTTTCAAAGGAATCCAAGGGAAATCTTTCTGCCAAGTTCCAACTGAGTCCCTGTGACACTCAAGAACATGGGCCAGGCTCTTGTGTAGGTTAAGGTAGTTGGAGAAGAATGAAGATTATAGGGAAACAGTCTACCTTTCTTTACAAGGCCTTGTTTTGCATCCCTGGAATCTCAGATTCAGCTACTACAATGAAGTTCTGTTGTAGAAAGAGCTGGCCTTTTATCACCACTTAAAATCTAATTAATCCATATTGAAGCACAAAGATTTCTGTTGTACTTTAGGGTGAGGGGTCATAGAGCCCTCTTTGTTCATCCTTAGACTTATAATCATCAAGCATTGAGGATATAATTTTACCAAGCAAATTGGAAGGTAACAGATCAAATCCTTATCAGAAAGCCTAACTCATAGTTTTAACAGAGTCCTCCATCCTTTACATGAAACATTATATTCAAGAGGAACAAAAACATACTTCAGAGAGCCCAAAGAGTTAATGACCAAAGCTTATATTCCAGGCAGCATAGAAGCAAGATTGTCACACTACTGTCAACCACAAAGGACAGCAGATCCTATAGGGTGGCAAAGTTGCAAGATTTGTTGCAATGGCTTTAGCTTTTAGAATAGCAACACAATCTATCGGGCTTTCATTATCTTTGCTGGGATGGGTTTTATCCATTATTACAACTTACTTGCCACACTGGAAGAACCTCAACCTGGACTTAAATGAAATGGAAAATTGGACCATGGGACTCTGGAAAACCTGCGTCATCCAGGAGGAAGTGGGGAGGCAGTGCAAGGACTTTGATTCCTTCCTGGCTTTGCCGGCTGAACTCAGAATCTCCCGGATTTTAATGTTTCTGTCGAACGGGCTGGGGTTCCTGGGCCTGCTGGTCTCGGGGTTTGGCCTGGACTGTTTGAGAATTGCAGACAGACAGCAGGATCTCAAGAAGCGACTGTTAATCCTGGGAGGAGTTCTGTTCTGGACCTCGGGAGTCACAGCCCTCGTTCCAGTCTCCTGGGTTGCCTACCTGACAGTTCAGGAGTTCTGGGACGAGACCATCCCAGAGATTGTTCCCAGGTGGGAGTTTGGGGAAGCCCTCTTTACTGGCTGGTCTGCTGGCTTTTCTCTTCTGCTAGGAGGGTGTCTGCTCCACTGTGCAGCCTGTTCCACCCCAGCCCCTGGAGCTTCTGGCCACTATGCAGTGGCAGAAATGCAAACTCGGTGTCCATATCTAGAAAATGGAACTACAGATCCTAAAGTGTAGGTTGCCGACAAGGCCAGTCATCTTCTGTACCACCTATGATGACAAAAGGGTCTTTGTTAAGTAACTAAATCTGTGCTGCTCATATTTTCTCACTCCATGACTACTTTTCTATACTAAGCTCTTTCTTCCCAATTCTTGAGATGAATGAAGGGAAGTCTTCTATCTAAAAGAAAATTGTTATGGCAAGCATTTCATAGGTATGAAGGAAAATAATGTCATTGATCTGGTTACTTAAATAAATATGTGGTGGTGGTTGTCCAACATAGTCTGGAGCTTTAATGTATTCATTTTGTGTTGGAAAGCTTGTTTTGTTAGTAGTTGGAAATGATATTGTCTCCTAAAGAAAATAACAACAATCTGAACTATTCTCCATCAGTAAAACTACATGCTAAGCCAATCCCAAAGTTATCATTTCCATAACAATAACTGATCTTCTTTGAATAAAAGTGGTTTGTGTTTAGAAATTCCTGGCACCCTGTTTAATTTAATGAGGCAGATTTTTTTAAACATCATATTTAAAAAAGAACAATTCCAAAGATTTTTTTTAACATCTAAATATCATCAGTTCATTTACTGGAATTAAAATATTCCTGTGCGCAACTAAAATTACAAACACAGGAATACAGATTAAATTTAGTGTTGACTAGAGATGTTGATCCTAATGTACAAAGTTCTACTGCATAACTTTTCCACAGCACAGAAAACATTTTAGCAAAGGAAAAACAAAACAAAACAAAACAAAAAAATAGTAAGTGCTTATGCACACTTGAGTGAATTTAAGAGAAAGGCATGTAGATAAGCAGACCTGATATTTAATTCAGTATTGTTTCATATGCTAGGTGTTAAATGTAGCCAAAGAGATTTTAAAAAACAGGCCTGACTTAAGGTCTAGAGATTTCTGATAAGATTGATTTATTTGGTTAAGAAATACTTTTCTTGAACCTATTTTTTTTTAAAATGAAAACTCTCAGTATTATCATAACATACACATTGAAATGTGAGAACTGTAACAGAAGAAAATCTGACAGGTGCAATTAGCATGATAGAAAGCAGGAGGAGCTGAACCAAAACCTTCAATTAAACATTTTTGCATTTAGACTTCTTAATTCTTTGATTTGTTAGAAAAGGAACAACAAGAAAGCCATTTATACCTTAACAATGAAAGGAGGATTAGTACTACTTAATTTATTTCACTGACAAAGTGCTTTCTACAGAACTCAGACCATAGGACATGAATATGATCTGGGCCACACCTTGGCATTACTGGTTTACAGCATTATTTCCCTATCCTTTTCTGAGACCTTTTCATCATGGAATCAAACAGTATCAACTCTGGCAAGAATCCTCCTATATACACAATGAAAAAATATTTATGAACTCCACAAGAGATAACTCAAGTGTCACACTTCTTTTCATAGCAACCGGAGGGCAGGAGTAGGGTTGGCTAAGCCTGGCGGGACTTCATGATGGCTTTAGTCTTTAGAATAGCAATGCAGTCTATTGGACTTTTATTTTCTTTGCTGGGATGGGTTTTATCTTGCCTTACAAACTATCTGCCGCACTGGAAGAACCTCAACCTGGACTTAAATGAAATGGAAAATTGGACCATGGGACTCTGGAAAACCTGCGTCATCCAGGAGGAAGTGGGGAGGCAGTGCAAGGACTTTGATTCCTTCCTGGCTTTGCCGGCTGAACTCAGAATCTCCCGGATTTTAATGTTTCTGTCGAACGGGCTGGGGTTCCTGGGCCTGCTGGTCTCGGGGTTTGGCCTGGACTGTTTGAGAATTGCAGACAGACAGCAGGATCTCAAGAAGCGACTGTTAATCCTGGGAGGAGTTCTGTTCTGGACCTCGGGAGTCACAGCCCTCGTTCCAGTCTCCTGGGTTGCCTACCTGACAGTTCAGGAGTTCTGGGACGAGACCATCCCAGAGATTGTTCCCAGGTGGGAGTTTGGGGAAGCCCTCTTTACTGGCTGGTCTGCTGGCTTTTCTCTTCTGCTAGGAGGGTGTCTGCTCCACTGTGCAGCCTGTTCCACCCCAGCCCCTGGAGCTTCTAGCCACTATGCAGTGGCAGAAATGCAAGATCACTGTCAACAACTAGAGATGAAAAGCCCCAACCCAAAAGTCTAAGCCAGGAGGGATCAGTGGTATCTACTCTTCAAGGTGATGCTTGCTCAACTCTGGATTCGGTAGGATCTCCTGCTGCACAGTCACCCACTCATTATGCTTTTGATTACCTAAAATGCACTTTTCCCCTTGTGACTATTAGTTTCTTTAAAAAACAGTTTCTTTCTAAGACTGGTAAACAACATTTATTTTCTACTTGGACCAAAACCAATCAAGACCTAATAGTAATCACATTCATTTCTGTATAAGAGTTCTCTCAATTTTAAAACAGGCTCAGTGATTGCACAAAACTGGTAAATGAAATGTCATTTTAGTAGTTACATATCTTTGAAGATATTATTCATATGGAGTTGAATAATTTTGGCAATTGGAAACATTACTGCTAATCATTTACTTCCTTCAGGTTTTTAGGATAACCTATAATAATGAAACTAAGATCTCTCTGCATATTTATCTTAAATGCATGACACCTGATTACACTAAAAAATTGCTGGCTATTTAAAGGTTTTGAATCATCCTTTTCAATCAGGGGCTTCAGTGCCTCTATGGTACCTGTTCCAGAAGTCCTTTACATTCATTCATGTCCTCAAGCAGAGGAGGGCAATCTTGTGTTCTGGAAGATTCATGTAGAATCTGCCACACAAATGTGTATCTGCTTCTGTGTCCTATGCTCACTTCATGGTTGACCTTCCTATCCTCCCCTGGCTCTGAGCAGCCACAGGGGGCATGGCAGGTCCAGACTGGCGTGTGTGGGCAGAAAGCATAGTGCCAGCTTAGGTGTGCTATGCCAGAGCATGCACTTGGGAGCTTTTCATTTCCCTTGCACAAGGAAGATGTTCCATTTTTCTTCTCTTTAAAGTCAGCAATACATATAGTCCAAAATAAGAACTACTCAAAGCAAACTTCTGGCTCGGGGAATTCTTTGTGGAACATTTTGTATTTGCTTGATACATGATTCAAGTAAATTCTTGTGTTTGTGCCAATCAAGGAAATTAACTGAACGATAGGCAACACTAAAGTATTAAGCAATATGTATCTTTGTTTAAAAAAATTTGAATTTTTTCCCCCATCCGCAAACACATGGAAAGTGCAGAAACCAAAGTTAATCTATGTGATGTATTTGCAAACTTTGATAAACAGGACAAATTAAAGCAGGAACATATTCAGAATTTAACCTGATTAAATATTTAGTTCAATCCTGAGCTTTTGATATTTAATACAATATAAAGCCATAGCAAAAAAAAAAAAAAACTTTAATTTTATTGGATTTGCATGCTACAGAGATTCAGCTAAACTTTGTTCATTTGGCTACTAATATTCTTTTTGTACCTGTAACACTTAAGATTCTGATATACAAAATTGTAATAACATACTGATAATTCAAAATTGAGATCTAAATATTACATTCTTTTTACCCTGTGCAGAATAAATTCTACCTTTTTAAAATAGTATTTATATTAAAATTCATATTTGTCCATATGGTTTTGTGATCAAAGTTAGTAAAATGTTTTGTTATTGTGAATCTTTTGGGTTAGTACAAATATGACAAGAGTATTAAAAGCTGCCTATAAATACATAACACCATTGCTGATTTTTAAAGCGTGGAAAGGATTATATTAAAATAAGTTTGCCTCTCATGTTAGAATAAGCAAATTTTGTAAAATAAAACCAAAAGTCTCTTGGTCACACTGTTAACTACCAGCCTGAGACAGACTTTATTCTTTAATACTTGTCTGAAACTTTTTGTATTACAAAAAGTTAACAGTTAATCTGGTGAAGTTTATAAAGCTGTAAAATACTCCAATATAGCCTCTTCTATGTCAAACATTTAAAATGGCCAGAACCAAACTATATATTAAACAGAACATAAATAAGACCGTAAATAAATAAATGAAGAAAATAAAATCGTACGGCACAACTACACAAGTTATATAAACATTTTCATGGTCAAACTAAGAAGCTGAAAACAGCTGACCTTCATTTAACTCTACATTAAATAAACTTCTTTCACATTTGACCTTAACAAGGATGAATGGTATTTTTTTTTCTAATTTGCCTTATTCATTTAACACTAGATTGGGCAGCCTAGAAGGACTGTATAGTCTACCAATAGGCTGGGTTTTGTTCAAGGCAGGGGTCACATCCAGTTATATCTTCCAAGAAATTTGCATTTGAGCTTTGGAATATTTAGAAAAAAAAGAAACTTTTAGGCCAGAAACTGCTTAAGGGCTTTGATTCTGATAAAATAAATTTTCCAAAATATGTATAATTAGTTTCAAGAAAATAAAAATTTTTGCTAGTGAGAATTCTAGCATGGGAACAAAACTTTTTCTTCTTTAAGATGACTTTGCATTTCTTAAAAAAAAAAATGGACTTAGTTTGCTATACAAGACAGCTAACCAAAAACTGCTTCTTCCAGTATAACAGACTGAATAATAAGTATGGCTTAAATTGCCTATAGACTATATACTGTAAAAGCCTTTTGGTGGCAAAGCTATACTGAGGACTTATTTCTTTAAAGAAGTGCCTGGGCTGTGTAAGCTAAAATTCTACAGTGGGAAACAGGACGCTTTAGTCAGTTTATATTGCCAAACTTGTTCATCCAAAATAGTTTCTTTTTCTTTCCTTCTTGTTAAACAAATGATTTACCTTATTCTCCAAACTAATAATTCCCTCCCAGGCACTCTTTCCTTTGCTTCCCAACTACTTACCACAAATTATAGATAGAATCCCTTAAAAATGAGAGCTGCAAAGTGATTTCTAGTAAATGTCAGAAATCTGTTTGACAAACTATTTATTTTGGCAACTTCAATTCAATTAAGACACACCATTTCCTCTGTTCTTGGCTTCACCAATGAGTGAGAATGCGTCCTCTCCACCTCACAGTGCTGTCTGGCCCTGGAACCCAGGACCCCATGAGCTTCTCGCTGGCACCTTTCTCACGCCTAGGACAGAGCATTGGTGCAGACTAGAAACTGGATCACTTGCAAATTCAGGTGAAGTCAGAAGTAGCAGCTGCTCCTCTGTTGAGCCCCAGTAGTGTATTTTAGGATTTCTGGTGTGCTTCTCTCTTCCACCTTGCCCTCAATGTCTAAGATCTTTAAGGTAGTAAGGAGTACTGCTCCTTGGCATTCTTGATATCCTTACATTCAGTATAGTTGTCTAAAGACAATTATAAAAAGGACAGAGAGGAAGCTGTTTTAAGGAACTTAAGTGTTCTGACACAGGTGATGGGAATGAGCACAGCACCTGTGCAGGACTCAGCTCTGTGCTCACTGCCAACAGGAAGAGCGGCTTTCTAGCCTAGAAACACTGCATGGCACCACTGCCACTTTCACAGTCTCCTCACAAAGAAACAAAGAAAAGCCCAGAACGCCACTGACACAAGCTGCTTCCCAGCAGTCAGCTCAGGGGTAGACACTGGTACTCACTGCCTCTTGTCCACATCCGCGATGGAGCCACTGGGGACACACGGTGCACTGCACATTGGTGTGCCAGATTATCTCATTTTTGTTATCAGATGTTTTGTCTTTCTTTAAACACATAAGGATTACATTCAAGTTACTTTACAAATTAACATATTGAAAATCTGGTATAAAATGAAAATTCTTCAAGAGTTGACAATTATATGTTACAAAAAAAGAAAGAAAGAAAGAAAGAAAAAGCAAATGTTCAGTCTTTTGCCCTCCCTAAGAAAGTAAACAGGTGAGAAACAATTTGTTAAGCCATGAAGTCACACATCATCAGCTGGCAGGGACGGGATGCTTATCTTCGCTCGGGTGAAGTAGGCAATCTTCTCCCTAGAGGTGGGGATGAGAACACCAACTTCAGCTAGATGCTCAAAATGGTCAACATCCTTTGCAACCAGGGAAACACAAATCAAAAGAACACTGAGATTTTATTTTATCTCACTCTAGTTAGAATGACAAACATCAAGAATGTAAATAACAACAATTGCTAGTGAGAATGTGGTGGAGGAGTACATTTTTACATTGTTGATTGGACTGTAAATGAGGATACTGAAAAGCAGTATAAAGATTTCTTAAAAGTCTATAAATGGGGGCCAGGTTTGTGGCTCAGTGGAAGAGCACTTGCCTAGCATGTGTGAGGCACTGGGTTCAATCCCCAGCACCACATAAAAAAATAAACAGGGGGCTGGGATTGTGGCTCAGCGGTAGAGGGCTCGTCTAGCATGTGCGAGGCCCTGGGTTCCATCCTCCGCACCACATAAAAAAATAAATAAAATAAAGATATTGTGTCCAACTAAAAAAAAAAAGTAATAAATAAAATAAAGGTATTGTGTCCATGTACAACTAAAAAAAATATTTAAAAAGACTAGGAATGGAATCACCTTATGATCCAAATACCCCACTCCTTGTCATTTATCCAAAAGAACTAAAGCCAGCATACAAGTTTATAGCAGTGCAATTCACAGTGGCCAAAACTGCCCTGTATCCCAAAGCAGGGATAAGAAGAAGCAACCTGCAAGGGAGAAGCTGAGAAGGACCAGACAGACAGTTTTCAAGTTAGGAAAGTGCCAGAACTAGTTTAGGTGTCCACTTACAGACAAATTGGATAAAGAAAATGTGATACAAATTCACAACAGAATTTTACTCAGCCATAAAAAAATGAAATTAGGTAATTTGCTAGTAAATGGATGAAACTAGAGAATATTACGCTAAGTGAAATAAGTCAGGCTCAGGAAGTCAAGGGTAGAAGTTTTCTGTCATATGTGAAAGCTAGTGAGAATAAAGAAAAAAACAGAAGAAGAAAAAGGGATCTCACAAAAATAGAAGGGAAACCAACAGAGTACACAGGAAGGGGTTTGAGAGGGAGGAAGTTGAGGAGGGCATGGGGAAGTACTAGGGAATGAAATATACCAAATTATGCTCTGTCCATGTATGAATATCCCACAATGAATCACACTTTTATATATAAATGCACTAATTAAAATAATAATACAAGGGAGATCAGTAGAGTAGAACAGGTGGATGGTGGAAGGGAGAGAAGAGGGAAGGTAAAGGAATGAGACTGAGCAGATTATGTTATGGTCATGTATAAGTAAGGTGCAATAAATCCCACTGTTATGTATAATTATAATGTACTCATAAAAAAATCCTGCATTAAAATACTTCTAAGAAATTAGCAGTGTTCCCACAAGCCCAGATGGGAGATTTTTTCCTCAGATAGAATTCCATTTACATGATTGACAGTCTCTGCTTTTTAAAGGTAGGAAAAGAAACAAAACGAAACAAAACAACAACAACAAAAAAACAACTCTGGCTATGGTAAATCACCTATAGACCCAGCCAGTTTCCTTTGGGGATTTCCAACATAAGACCATTTTTAAAAATCTAGGTGTTTCTAAATAAGATAGTAGAGGATTCAAAAGGGCCAAAATTCTGCCCTTCCCAGTGACCTCACAGAAGAGTCCATAATATCAGGGAAAATTCTTTCAGTTAGCATCATGCTAAGGTAGGGACAACCGGGTGAGTATACCATGACACAAATGGAGAGAGATGAGAAACCTGATCAGCTTAGAGGGAAAAACCACCCTGTATCCCAAAGCAGGGATAAGAAGCAACCCACAAGGGAGAAGCTGAGAAGGACCAGACAGACAGTTTTCAAGTTAGAAAAGTACCAGAAAGAACAAGATTTTAGGATTATACAGTTAGTCATCAAAGGTGAGAGCAATCTATCTTTTTACAAAACCTCACACAGTACATAGCATTCCTTAAACACAGTTCTGGGGCACAGGAAGGTCATGCTGGTAGCCATAAAGGATGGAGCACTGGCCCCACTTGAGAAACAGACTGACTCAATGGCAGAGGGAGAGTGGGGCTAGAAACAAGAACTGGGGAGGATGTTTTCTGTCTAAAGACTAAGGAAAGGTAGAAAAGAAAAGGAAGAGTAAAAACACTGAGGAGACTGGGTTGAGAGTTGTTTTTGTGATATAGTGTCCTTTAGATTAGTTCAGTTGAATAAGAATCTAAAAAATAAAAAATAAAAATAAAAAAGAATCTCAAAAGGCAAGAGAGTGTGGGCATGATGTTGGTGGAGATCTCGAGGTACACTCAAAAACCAGGGTATTTTAAAATACTTGAATTACTTTATTTGAAATAGGTCACATAAAATCCTCAATTTCTGATATTAACATTCACTACACTCTGAAGTGAATTCCTACAGAATCAGATGACTGGCATAACCCAAAAACTATCCCTGGGCAGGGCCACTCACCTGAAGGATTGCACCTGCCTAGGCACCTTCCGGCTCTGTTCCCGAAGTCGACACACATCCTTGGAGACTTGCCTCATCAATTTTTCTGCATTCAAATCTTGTTTCTGTTCTTCTTTTGACTGTTCAGCCTTGGAAAGAAATAAAAATACAAGAAACCCACAGAATATTAATTATAAATCCCTGCTACCTGATGCAAGGCTTGAGAGACTGGGGGCTAGATCCAGGCAGGTAAGCCAAGCAGCCAGTGGTGTCTCTTTTTACCAATCAGGGGAGAATCCCATGTTCTACTCATGCTGAGGGAAGCAAGCACTGATTCAGGGGCAAGTTTATTTTAACTGCATTTAAAAATTTTATCACATACAAAACAATTTTCTTATACCTGGAAAGCCTAAGGAATGCCTCAAAAAAAGAAACTAAAAACTGCCACTGTTTGCCAGAAATGTCTACTGCTAATTTTTTGGTTAATACACTTTCAAACTCTTATTCATCTTTTCAAATCCGTACTCCCCATGGTAGCCACTGGAGAAACTGTTCATTGAAGTAGAAATTATCTTCCAAACAAGTACACGTGGAAGTGTATACCTCAAAGATCTTTACAACTGGAACATACCCATGTAACCTGCGGAAGATGATGGAACAGAAAGAACATTCCCAGTTCTCAGAAGCCTCCTTCTAGTCTGAATGCTACCAGCAGTATGATGTGTGAGAGGCCAGACTCCTGTCTGTGTGTCCTTTGTGTGAACAGTACAGTAGGCACTCTTCAGTGTCTGACTTTTTTTTGTTTAACATTACCCTTATAGGAATCAGACATACTATCACATGAAGATGCATCCTGTATTTCTCAGTGCTGCATAATATTCCACAGTGCAACTTCACCACAATTTATTATCTCTGTTACTGCTGAAGGACACTTGGATATTTCACATGAATTTTTTCCCAACATTTTTTTATTGGTGCATTAGGGTTGTATAGTTTGGTGGGATTTGTTGTTACATATTAGTACATGCACACAATATTACAATATATTTTGCCTAATTTGGCTCCCCAACACTTCTCCCCTATGAAGTATTTTTTTAAATCAGCTGGATATATGGTAGAGTGTTTGCCTAATGTACACAAGGCCCTGGGTTTGATTCTCCAGCACAGGGGGAAAAACCCTAAAAATACCAATATAATAAGTTGCTTTTCTGTTCATTTGATTACTTATGTATTCATCATTTTGTCACCAACCAACAAATAGTTGTTGACTGCCTTCTAAGCAAAGGTGGTGCAAGTTAGTGGCAAAGAGTGCAAGTTCTGGAGCCAAACTGTCTGAATCCAAATTCTGTTTCTATCACTTTCTAATTATGTAAATTTGTGCAAGCTGTTTTGACCTCTCTGTGCCTTAGTTTCTTCATTTGTAAATTTGGAATATGTAATTCAAAGGGTTGTTGCAAAATTTAAATGAGCATAAGTAAAGCATTTAGAGCAGTAGCCAACACATAATTAAATCCACTATTTTAACGTTCAGTTATTACTGTTATTTTTACTATTGGCTAGGCACCAGGAGGTAGGAACAGAGTTTTCCCTCACAAGTCCAGTGAGGGAGAAAAAGAAATTTAAAAAAATAGAACTTATTTCATAATCATTAATGTTAATATTTTTGCAGGTTAACAGATCTTCCTCAGCATAATGTTTTTAAAACACAGAGCTTTTAAGGCTGTCAGTCAAATGGAGCAGAAAGTAGAATTTCCATACATTTCCTGCCCCACATATGATCAACTTCTCCCACTACCAACATCCTCCACCACAACAGCACATCTGTTTCAGTTGATGAGCCTATTGTGATACATCATTATCACCAGAAGTCCATAGTTTACATCAGGCTTCACTCTTGGTGCAATCCTATTGGTTTGGGCAAATGTACAATGACCTGTGTTTATCATGTAGTATGTAAGGAAGAGTTTCACTGCCCTAAAATCCCCTGTGCTCTGTTTCCTCCCTATCACCCCCTGCCTCATGCTCTGGCAACCACTGATCTTTTTACTCTTTCCAGAACTTTGTTTCTTCCAAACTGTCACAGAGTTGGATTGACGTAATATGTAGTCTTTCCAGTTTGGCTCCTTTTACTTAGTGCATTAAGTTTCCTCCATGTGTTTCTGTAGGTTGATAGCTCACAGTGTTGAATTATGTCATACTGTTTTGATGTTTCAGTTTATTCCTTCATCTAGTGAAGGCCATCTCCATTGCTTCCAAGTTTTAGTATTTATGAATAAAGCTGTTATTTAACATGGACTTAAGTTTTCAACTCATTTGGATAAATATCAAGGACTGTAGTTGCTGGATTTCATGTAAGAATATGTTTTACTTTGTAAGAAACTGCCATGATGCCACGAATGCTGCACCATTTTGCATTCCCACCAGCAACAAACAAGAACTCCTGCTGCTCCACATCCCTGCCTGTTGTCTATGTGCTGGATTTTGCTACTCTCACAGGCATGCAGTGGTCTCTTGTAACTTTAAGCCACAATTCCTAATGACCTATGACATGGAATATCTTTTCATATGCTTAATTTCCATCTATATATCTTCTTTGCCAATTTTTTAATTGGTTGGTTGTTTCATAGCCCTGAATTTAAGAGCTCTTTCATCATTTTGGATAACAGTCATTTATCAGATATGTCTTTTTGCCTTCTTTTTCTCTTGACATGACTTGTGTGGTACAGAAATTTAGATGTTTTTTCATTTTTTGGATGCTAATGTAAATGATACTGTGCTTTTAATTTCAAATTCCACTTGTGCTTTGATGATGTATGGGAAAGGAATTGACTTTTGTGTATTAATCCTGTATCCTGCAACTTTGATATGATCATTTATTAGTTCTGAAAGTTTTTTGGAGGGGGACTGGATCTATTCTTTCAGATTTTCTATAATCATTAAGTATACAGTATAGTATCATTCCTATACTGTATACCCTTTCTTTTCTTGTGTTATTGCATTAGCTAAGACGTCCAGTGTGAAAAGGAAGAGTGCTGTGGGACATCCTCTTTCTGCTCCTACCTTAGAGACAAAGCTTGTTTCTTACCATTAAGTTTTCCTCTATTCTGAGGTTGCTTAGCACTTTTAAGATGAATGGGTATTAAATTCTGTCAAATGCTTTTTTTAAAAAAAGCATGTATTGATTTTATTGTGGTTTTTTCTTTACTAATTTATTCATGTGACAGATTATATTAATTGACTTTCAAATGTTGAACCAGCCTTGTATACCTGGGATAAACCTTCCATGGTCATGGTAATTCCTTTCATACATTGCTAGATTGGATCTGTTAATATCTTGTTAAGGATTTTTACATCTATTTTTGACATAATGGGATTTGACAAAATTAATTTTACAAGCTCTTGCTATGTTGCCCAGGCTGGTCTTGAACTTCTGTGCTAACATCCATCTCCAAAATAGCTGGGACTACAGGTGCTCACCACCATACCTGACAGTAACTTTCTTGAAATGTCTTTGATTGGTTTCAGTACTAGGGTGATGCTGACCTCCTATCAAAAGTTAGCAGGTATCTCCTCTGTTTCTATCCTCTGTAAAACACTGTGGAGAAGATAGTTCTTTCCTTAAAATGTTTGGTAGAATTCACCAGTAAACCCATCTAGGAATGGTGTTTTCTATTTTGGAAGGCTTTTAATTACCAGTTCAATTTCTTTAATAGATACAGACCTATTCTGGTTGTCTATTTTTTCTTATATGAGTTTTGGCAATTGTGTCTTTCAAGAAATTGGTCCATTTTATCTAGGTTATCAATGTGGGCAGAGTGGTTTATACTATTCATTATCCTTCTAATGTCCACAGGATCTGTAGTGATATTCCTTCTTTCATTTCTAATATTACTAATCCAAATTGTCTTCTCCCTTTTTTCTCAAGTCTGGTTAGTAGTTTGTCAATTTTATTGATCTTTTGAAACAACCAGCTTTTGGTTTTACTGATTTTCTCTACTGATTTCCGATTTTCAACTCAATGCATTTCTGCTCTGATTTTTATTTCATTTCTTCATGAAACTTCATTTCATCTATGATAACTTTAAATTTAGTTTTCTCTTCTTTTTCTGGTTTCCTAAGGTGGAAGTTTAGATTATTGATTTCAGATTTTTCTTCTTTTCTAGTATATGCACTGAATGCTGTACATTTTCCCCCAAACATTGCTTTTACTCTATCCCAAATTTTGATTTTTGATTTTTCATTTTTATTTAGTTCAAAATATCTTTTGAGATTTTATCTTTGATCATGTATTTAGCAATGTGTTGTTTAATCTCCAAATGTTTTAGAATTTCCCAGTTATATTTCTGTTACTGATTTCCATGTTTAATTTTACTGCATTCTCTAAAGACATACAATATTATTTGTTAATGTGTGTTTAGAGCCTGGGATGTGACCGTCTTGGTGAAAGTTCCATGTGAACCTGAGAAAAATGTGCAATCTGCTGTTATTGGATAAAGCAGTTTCCAGATGTCAATTGTACCCTATTGATTGATAGAACTGTTGAGCTCAACTATGTCTACTGGTTTTCTGCCTGCTGGGATCTGCCAGCTCTGACAGAGGCATGCCTAAGTTTCCAAATGCAACGGGTGGATTCATCTATTTCCTTGCAGTTCTGTCAGTTTTTGCCTCTCATATTGACTGTTGGGCACATACATATTAAGGACGGTTATGTCTTCTTGGAGAATTTACCCCTTTATTATTATGTCATGCCCTTCTTTATTCTTTACAACTTTTCTTGCTCTGAAGTCTGTTCCATCTGAAATTAATAAAGCTACATTTTTTTAGTTTTTTTCTACCCATTTACTTTTAGTCTGCATGTATTTCTTGTAGACAAAATAGATGAATTTGTAAATAATAACATGCAATAATAAAATTTTTTTCTGAAATTTTCTATTTAATGCTTCAAACTATAGACAACCATGGTAAATGAAAACATGAAAAATGGAACTATGGACAAAGGGGATTACTGTATATGAGTTGGCTTTCGGAAGGTCTTTTTGGAAAGCTGCTTTAAGAGAAAAAAAATTCAGGGCTAGGGATGTGGCTCAAGCGGTAGCGCGCTCGCCTGGCGTGTGTGGGGCCCGGGTTCGATCCTCAGCACCACATACAA